TTTCCTTTTACTTTCCTCTTGTCCCACTGTCATGCTCAGCCTTCATTTGGGTTTCAGTAATTCCTCTCGGTTACATTGTCCTTGATCATGCCCTACCAGGCCTCTTACACCCTCCTCGCCACTGATTTTGGATCGTTTGTTCCTTTGTCCCTGGGTTTGTTAACACCATTTTCTTTCCCCCACTTCTCCCTTTCCAATGTTCCCCCAACCACCCGTTGTTTTCTCCTTCATATTTTTTATCCAGCTTATCTTATCTAGATAGACCTGCAGAGATGATAATATGCACAAAAAAAGACAGCAAAATAAAGCGACAAAACAAAACAACAACAAAAAAATGACAAAAATGAAAAGCCTGTAAATAGTTCAAGGTCTGTTTGTTGACCTTTAGGAGTGTTTCCGGTTGAGTATGATGGGGTGCCACACCCTAGCCCCCAAATCTATTTTTGTTATTCCCTGGGGACTTCGTTGTTCTGTTCCCCTTGCTGTTCTGTTGCACGCCTTTAGTGTTTTGCCTCAGTGTGGTGGGGTCAGATAGGGCGCAATTCCCACACTGTGACTCCAGTGTTGTCCCCCGTAGGGCTATGGGTTGGTGAGGCATGTCGTGTCTCATCGTGGGGCCGGCCATATGGTCTTCTCTGTGGATTGGCTGCTCTGAGCTGGAATATCGTCCTCAAGGCTTGGTAGGCCAGGATGTGCTCCACTCTCTCTTTCTCCCCCTTCATTTGCTCCTGTGTGCTCTGATCAGACATATCCCTCTCCCTGAGCTGTAGCTTCAGTCCTGTCCTCTGAAGGGCCCTGATGAAATCTTCATTGCTCTCTCATTTTGTTTCTGGAACTCTCCAAGAAAGAAGGGAATTTTACAAGCATGCCCTCAGGTGAGTGGAATCTGACTAGTATGTGGCTCTGTTGTTTCCTTGCCCTAGGTATACCTGGAACGGAGAGCCCCTCTTTCTGTCCTGCCCTACTCCAGAGACCAGCGTGCTTCCGGCGTGTAGCCATTGTGGAGGCCCACGGATATTTGAGTTTCAACTAATGCCAGCACTGGTCAGCATGCTCAGAAGTGCTAATCTAGGTAAATAAGCCCTTAATCCATTTGAGTTTGTGGATTTCTGGCAGTATTTTGAAATTCTTTTTTAAACCGAGGGGTATGTTATGTTAATTTTGTTTAGCAACTATGCTAAACATAATTAGAGAAAATATAATCTAATAATCTAACACAAACACTGTTACTACTTTGATTTCAGGCCAAGTTGCTTTCTCTCCATAACATTTTTTGCCCCATGACATTTTTATATAATCAAAATAGAGTTTTTTTTAAAGTAGCTCTTAAAATGATTATAATTATTGTGTTTATCATATTTATTTTTTAAAATTTCTAAGCAAATGGGAAATTATAATAGCGCAATGCCTGTTTGTGATGCAACATTCAAACAGTCCAGGCATTTGTGGGGTAAGAGAGAAACCAGTTAAAGACCAGCTGCCCTGGGCCCATTCTGACTCACAGAGACCCCTGTGTCTCTTTGAACTGTGCTCCAGAGTTTTCAATTGCTCATTTTCAGTCGATTGTTAGACCTTTCTTCCCAGGTGCACATGGTTAGCCTCTAGCAATGAGCCTTTCTGTTAGCAACCCACTGCTTTAATTGCACCCTCAGGCACCCCAGTAAGAAGTAAGGACCCACTGCCCTCACGTAGATTTCAATTTATAGTGGCCCATGGGCCGGAGAAGAACTGCTCTGTCTGGTTTTTGAGGTTGCAAATCTCTATCTCGTCTGCTTGTTCTTTTTTTTTTTTTTTTAAGGGAGTGGGGTTTGTGGAGTATTTAATTCTTTGCTCCACCTTAATCAGTCTTGGTTTCCTCTAAAATACGTTTTTGTTTGTGTTATGTGATTTGAAGATTTTTCCTCCAGATTGCTGAAATGTTTCGTATTTACTGAATAATTTTCTTATTTTTGTTTAAAATACTTTGCAGTATTTTATTATATTTTCACTCTGAGCAGTGTGTATTTTGTGGGCTCCTTAAGGAGCCCCGGTGGTGGAATGGTCACTTGTTGGGCTGCTAGTCACAAAGCGAGCCTCTCCTCAGGAGAAAGATGAAGTTTTCTTTTTTTATTTTATGTTATTTACTTATTTTTTAAGCTTTCGACTCCTATAAAGAGTTAACAGTTTTGGGAATGCACGAGCCAGTGCTCTCTTGTCCTTTGGGGTTGAGTCAGAATTGGCTCAGTGGCAGTGAGTGAAGACTTAATATTTTACAGAAATCGTGTAGTCATTGGAGGGAGACCACTTCCAGAAATACTTGGTGGTGACGTGTTTTTCCCCACATCTTCCCATCACATTACAAACATAAATATAGAACACGGCTTTTTCTCCTCCTTTCTTTCATGCATTTTCCATTCTCATTAAATAGACTATTCCAATGTGAACTCATTTTATCTAACAACTTCCCAGTTATACATTTTCACTTTTTCCTTTATTATAAAAACTGCTTGGATTAGCATACCTTCTCTGTGTTTTTGGTGTATCACTTCACCATAGAGTCTTGGAAAGTGAAAATACTGTTGTTACACTCTGGAGACTGAAAGTCCACGTCTGTTTCTGAGTCAGTTTCTCTGGCTAGTAGACCTGGGCACCCCTAGCTCCTCTGCTTATTAGCCTCTCTTCACATGCCGTGTGTCTTCCCCTGGGCGTGTCCGTTCCACTCTGTTTTTGTTTTTTTTAATAATTCAGAAGTAATTAGTTACATACTCCACCCTACTCTGTTTTATATGACATTATGAGCTTTTTAAAGAAGTCTCTTTGGCACAAAATAGCAAATTCCTTATAGAGTACCATGTTCTTTTCTAGTCAAATAGTGTGCCTTGTATGAACACAGAATCCATATTCTAAAAGATGCATGCATGTTTTTATTGATAACAAGGGATCTGTAGTGCTCTAGTGGTTACCCATTGGTCTGCCAACTTCAGGTCAGCAGTTCAAAACCACCAGCAGCTCCTCAAGAGAGAGCTTTCTGCTGCCTGCCCTCCATGGTGGCCGTGAGTCAGCGCTGACTCAGTGCCACTGAGTTTTGAGCATTGATAGCACTTCTTTTTAAAATCATTTTATTAGGGGCTCATACAACTCTTATCACAATCCATACATACATCAGTTGTGTAAAGCACATTTGTACATTCATTGATAGCACTCTTAAGAAATACTCGTATCTTAGTGACATTCATTTTTAAAAGTAAAATACAAGGGGGCTTGAAAAACTCAGGGAAAATGACTTCTATGAATTTTGAAAGCTCTCTTGGACAAACAACTTTTAAAATTTTTTTTTTTTTTTTTTTTTTCAACTTTTAAAATTTAGTGATACTGAAAGACTCATTTTTCCCTGCAACTTCTGAGTAAATTTGCCTTTGCCATCCTTGCTCCCTTGCTAAAAAGGTTGTTCGGTGTGAGGATTGACTTGGTAATGGCTATTCCAGCTGTACTTCTCTGTTTTGTGATGTAAACCCTAGCCTCTGTGTCTGTGACCATGGTCTCATTTGGGAATGATGGTTTATTATGTTGATGAGACAGGAGTAGAACAAGGTGGTATCTTGAGTCACCACTTTATTCTAGAGCAGAGGTTGGCAAACCTTTGAGATGAAAGAGCCAATCTTGTCCCTCACAACAATTTAAAAATTATTCAAGAACCATACATTTATTTTTACCAAAAAAACAGGAAATCACCATTATCTGAACAATGTCCTTTAAAAATGTTCAGTATTACTTCAGTGCCTGAAAGAGCTGCTGCAGTTTGCTGCTGACCCCTGTTCTAGAGTGCATGACTCAAGTTACCACCTTTAGCTTCCTTGGGGGTGTGGTCTGCATCCAATAGACAGTAATCCTCTGGCAAAGTTCTCTCTCTTGCTTTGGATCCTGCATCTGACTTTGACCTCTGGTTCTTGGCACTTGAGCCAGCAGCCTGTTATTGACTGGTTTCCACAGCCTCAGAAGCAGGCACCTGTCATCTGACATGTTAGCCCCCGTGGCCATGTGGCACAGTGATGATAAGTTGGGCTGTAATTTGAAAGGTCAGCAGTTTGAAACCACCAGCCATTCCATGTAAGAAAGACAGGGCTTTTTATTCCTGTAAAGAGTGACGGTCTTGGGAACTCACGGGGGCAGTTCTATTCTATCCAATAGGATCACTATGAGTCAGCATTGACTGTGGCAGTGAATAGTTTTGTTTTGAGTTCATAGCCATGTCGATCAGGAGAGGCCTGTCCAAATGGATGTTTGACCCACAGATTTGAGGCTTGCCTATCTCTACAACTGCATGAACCATTTCCCTGATGATTCATGAGTTCTGCGAGGCTTGCAAGGAAGTACAGAATTCAAAGATAGGAGGGAAGAGAAGTCATTGATGTTAGAGATGATGGAGTGGTACAGCAGACTGGTAAAGCTGTACATTTGGGACATCTTTAACTTCAATCTCTTAACCAGCTGTGTTTGAGTCCCTTTAAAAGAAATGATGCTGACCAAAACCTAGTAAACACTGCTTTTTGTCTTTACCTCATTTGTTTTCCAGCTTGTAAAGTGAAATCATTCTGCTGGAATGTTATCCTGAGGTATATCACCTTCTCCCCTTCTATTATCTTTTAATCATTCAACTCTTGCTTTGAAATGTGCATTTAAGTTGTGCCAGTATGTTTTCTAAACGTTTTATGTATATTAGCTTACTTAATACCCCTCACAACGGTCTTATGATCATAATATTATCATCATCACCAAATGTGAAAGTAACTTGCTTAATGTTGGTTAAGAGCTGGTATTTGAATGTTGTTTGCAATCTTGCTTTAGATATCTGTGTATTATCTACTAAGCAAACTTCAAAATTTTCAGTGTGTCCCAAAACTTTATCTTTACTGGAATCCTTACTGTGTTGTATTTTTCAGGTCTTTCTGTGGAATTTGGGACAATTCTAATTTATACATGTGAGAAGAGTTGCTGGCCTCCAAATCACCAAACCCCTATGGAAGAATTTTGTATCATACAAGCGGACCCAGATGAATTATTTTTTAAGTAGAGCATCTTTTATTTGTGTAAATTAAAACAAATTTATGTGATCAAATTTGGTGGTTATCCTTCATTTGAATTTCATATATATTTTTTTTCTGGTATTGGAATAAGCCAGAAATAAGCTTTCTTCTTGTGGGTGAACTCTAATTTTTATTGTGCTTTGGATGAAAGTTCACAAGCATATCCTGTTTTCCATTCCGCAATTTACACATTTTGTTTAATCTCATTCATTGTAATCCCCTCAACATCATTCTCCCACTTCATCCCTATATTTTCTCTTGCCGTCTCTCCTTTCCTAAACCTTCTGAACTTTTGGTAAATGATGCCCTTTTGATCTCAAATGGTTGTTTGAAAGTGTGTGTATCTCACTAGTGTTATTGTTCCCCTTATAGACAGACCTGTTGTTTGAAAATTAAGCCATGCGGTGAGTTCTGGCCCACATCTGATGGGTAACTGGGTTTAAAACTGTTAATCTTGCAGTTAGTTAGCAGCCCAGTGGGTAACCACTAAGCCACCAGAGCCCCTGGTCTTGTGTAGAGTGAGAGGAAATGCGGAACAAACCCCAAATCATAAGAGACCAGGCTTATTGGTCAGATAGACTAGTGGAACGCCCAAGCAGCCCTTAGTCAACCTTTAGGTCTGGAACTGAATTCAGCCCTGTGTTAGACTAATTAACCAATTAAGAACCAAAGTACAGCATTTACCCCAGGACAAAGGCAGGTTAGGAAGGAAGGGAATGAGATAAGTGGCAATGGATTGTGGAAACAAATGGTGAATGAATTGTTGAATGTAAAATTGATGATTTACCCTGCAAAACCTTCACTTAATTCACAATTTAAAAAATTTACTTTTGTATGTTATATCCTCTGATGTCCATATGATCTATCATGTATTTTGAAAATTAGGGTTTCCACTGAGTCTCTTAACCCATCAGCCTGGTCTCATGATTCTGTTAACTCAGAAGTTATTAACTCTTATTTTTAAGTGATGCCATCTGGTACCTGTGCCAACATTGGAGCTGGGACTGAGAGCCTCCTGACTGGTCTATTCTTCCAGGTTCCATGCAGGAGAAAGATGTTTTCTATTCCCATAACGAGTTTTGGAAACTCAGGGGAAGTTCTACCTTGCCCTCAGAGTGGCTGTGAGTCAGAATTGATGTGATGGCAGTAAGTTTGGTTGGATTTTCTGAGACCTACTGTGATCCTTTTCAGAGCAGTTGGTAGTTGTATCTGGGCATCATGCAGTTCCTGGTCCCAGGGTTGTGTGGTCCATTAGTCCACTGGACTGATGGTTTGTGTGGCTGTTGATTTTTGACATTCTTACTTGTGGACAGGGAGACACCAACAGCTGGATCTTAGATGGCTGCTCCCTAAGACCCCAGCTGCTACTCACCCAAGTCGGATTGTGTGTTTGTGAACTATGATAGGCCAATCCACCTTGGGGTTCCCAAATACTATGGCCCCAAGCCCCCAGGCCGAGCGACAAAACTTTTATCATGCATCATCTTGACATACATACACTTTTTGGTCTAACTGTTCAGACCTTGTAAGATAACCAGGAAAGCTGGAGGTGAAGTGGGCCGTCCCTCAACCTCAAATGGGATCTGAATGGTAATTAACATTCTAAACTCTTGAACTTTAGGGAACTGCTAAAGCACACATTTGAAAAACAATGGCAACATATAAAGCACTACTGTAAAATTGATTGTTTCTTTGAGGCTGACTTACAATGGCTGGCTGTAATACTCACAAAGCTAAATCTGGTGACAGATTTTGAGAATGGAATGAGTCAAACTGCAGTCTTAGGTGTTTTTAAATCATGTTGAGTGCACTAAAAAGTTTTGTCAATTTAAAAGTGTTCTCTACAGAATACAGGAGCACTTGTTTCCCCATCCTTTAATAACACATGGTGTTATTTTTTCTTTCAGTTTGATAGGTGAAAATCGTGTTCATGCTACTTAGGGTGCATGTCTTCGATGACATTTTAGTATACTCACTAACTATATTGTCCTTTTTCTTTGAGAGTGACCGGGGTTTTTGTTTGGGTGGCATTTGGTTTCTTGGGAAGGGTAGTTTTCTTGGTAAGAGTTCGTTACATGGAGAACAACTGTTCTGTAACCTGTAACGAAACTTGGTGGGGAGTTCAAATCCCATGCAAGGGCGACTCTTAAACATTACTTAACCCGGGAGCAGGTCTGTGCGCATCTGTAAAAATACTACCGTTGGGAGCGGGGAGGGAGGGGAAAAATGAGGACCTAATGCCAGGGGCTTAAGTCTAGAGGAAATGTTTTGAGAATGATGAGGGCAATGAGTGTACAAATGCACTTTACACAATTGATGTATGTATGGATTGTGATAAGAGTTGTATGAGCCCCTAATAAAATGATATAAAAAAAAATACTACCGCTGCCAGGGGCTTAGGTAGAGAGCAAATGTTTTGAGAATGATGAGGGCAATGAATGTACAAGTGTGCTTTACACAATTGATGTATGTATGGATTGCGATAAGAGTTGTATGAACCCCTAATAAAATGATTTTTAAAAATCCCAATAAAATGATTAAAAAAAACCTAGGTTCATACAACAAAAAAAATACTACCCCTAGACTACGGTGGGCAGTTTAAAGCACAGGCCTGAGTGGAGAGCACAGACCGGTTCGTAGCGCACCCCGGCTGGCTGCGGGCTGGCGGTCACTGCGCAGAAGCGGAAGTTGCGCCGCCCCTCCCCCACCCTCTTCCGGCCGCGGCTGAGTTCTCCCGCCGCCGCTGCCTCCGCCGTCGCCGTCGCCGCCGCTCGTGGTCGTTTCGCTATGGCACTTTCGCGGGGCTTGCCCCGTGAGCTGGCCGAAGCCGTGGCCGGAGGTCGGGTGTTGGTGGTGGGTGCGGGTGGCATCGGCTGCGAGCTCCTCAAGAACCTGGTGCTGACCGGCTTCTCCCACATCGATCTGGTGAGGGCCTGCGCGCGCGCCGGCTGAATGGCGGGCTGGGGAGCCGGGCTTGAGGGGCTCGGGGTCCGCACCTCCGGGCCCTAGTTGGGGAGGCGAGGTGGGGCGAGGGACTTGAGGTTACGGCTGCAGACGTGAGGGGAACCGAGGGCGGGGCAGGGCGGCGGCCACGCGCCGAGGAGGCCGCGGGCCCGGGTCTTCCGGCTCCGTGCGGCCCGACCGCCCCCCGGTCCCTTGGGCAGCGCCAGTTGGGCGGCTTCGAGGACTGGGAAGCGGCCTGAGTCTGAGCTTCCGAGCAGCTCCCCAGCTTTAAGGTGATTGTTGGGTCCCCGGTGGGCCTTGAGGCTGATGAACTGAAATAATGACCCAGGGCCGGGAGGGCAGTCAATAGTCACCAACTTCCAGTGAGCGCGCGTCCGAGCCCGACGCAGTCACGAACGGTTTACATTCATCAGTGCATTTGGTCCCCATTGCTACCTGTGGGTACAGACGCAAAATCCACTCCCTTTTATTTTTAACAAATGAGGAAAGTGAGATGCAATGGGATTTGGTAGCTTCTGAGGCCAGGGGCTCCTTTAGGAGTACCCCGGGTACACGTGGTCTGTTGCTGTGGTCACTAGAGAAACGGGTACACTCGCTGAGTTCAGTAAAAATGTTGATTATTTTATTTTACTACTACTCTTTCCATGACACTCATCAAAAAGTTTATGTGGGCCATGTTTCTTCCTTGAGAATATGTGTGCTTATAGCAAAGTTAGGTCAGCAGTGAAAGTTTTTGTCTTTTCTTTGGATGACCCTAACTTGAATCGTTATTATTTATTAGTTTGTAACGTTACCCAGGCGCCATTCAGTTCTGGTCTCATGGCAAAGGAAACCCTTGTTCACAGACATGTGAACATGGTGTGGTGGTACAGGAGACAGTTGTTTTTGTAGATGCTTAGCCACACCTTCCATTTCCTCCAATTCCGGACTCTCCTTCTTGCTCCAGCTGACCGGAGAGTGCTTGCAGCTTAAGCTTTTAAGACTCTAGGCATGCATCATGAAATTAAAACAAAAACCAGACCAAACTTCAACCCTTTTAGAGAAAAGGTAGAATTGCCTCTGTGGGTTTCTGAGATTGTAACTCTTCATGGGAGTAGAACGCCTCATCTTTCTCCCTGGGCACAAACTAAGATGTAGAAAAGGTAACCACATTATTAGGCTGATGTCCTATGAAGCCATGACCTTGAACCTACAAACCAAGGAATCGCTACCCATGAGAGGTTTGGTTGTACATAAGCAACCCCAGCAGCTCTCCCCACTCCTTTTTTTGGTCATTTTTATGTGTATCTAATATCTGTAAGCCAACTTTTGTCAGTTCACATTTAAAAAAAACATTTTCTTGGGGGCCCATACCACCATCCATCCATCCATCCATCCATCCATCCATCCATCCATCCATCCAGTCAAGCACATTTGTACATTTGTTGCCACCATCATTCTCAACTCACATTTTTTACAAGTATATGTTACTAACAGTATAACACTAATGAACTTAAATGCGATTTTTCCATTACTGCTTATTGAAACTCAGTACTCTGTAAATCAGTCACGCCTCCTCCTGGCCCTTAAACTCAAAACAAAATTCACTGCCATTAAGTTGATTGCAGCTCATAGTGATCCTCTAGATGAGAGAAGAGCTCCCCCTGTGGGCTTTAACTCTAAGTAGAAAAACGCATCTTTCTCCTGGGTAGGGAGGAGATGCTTTCAAACTGCTGTGTAGTTAGCAGCTCAATGCTTAGTCTACTGTGCCCACTAGTGCTCCTTCCTGCTCCCAAACTCAACTCAGGGCCATCAAGTCAATGACAACGCTTAGTGACCCTGTAGGACAGAGTAGAACTACCCCTGTAGGTGGCCAAGGTTAACTTTTTGGGTTTTTTTTCTTTAAACTGTTTTATTGGGAGTTAATACCGTTCCATAGTTCAGTCACATCAAGCAGTATTGTACAATTGCTACCAGAATTAGTTTTAAAACATGCTCTTTCCCGCCTGAACTCCTCCACATAAGCTCCCTTTACTGCCCCCCCCACCAGCTTTTTTTATATCATTTTATTGGGAGCTCTTAACAGATATAACAATCTACACTTCAATTAGATCAAGCATAATTGTGCAGTTGGTGTCACCACCAGTTTCAAAACATTTTCTTTTTTTTTTAATTAATCATTTTATTGGGGCTCATACAATTCATCACAATCCATACATACATCAGTTGTGTAAAGCACACTTACACATTTGTTGCCCTCATCCTCAAAACTCGGTTTCTGCTTGGGTTCCTGGAATTAGCTCCTCATTTTCCTTTTCCCCCTCCCCCTCCCTCCTCAAAACATTTTCTTGAATGCTTTGATATCAGCTCCCTCTTACCCCCTCCCTCCTCTACCCTACCCTCTAGGGGCCCTTATTATATTATTATTATCTCTCACACACCAACTCTTTAGAGGAGTAGAAAACTGCTTTTCTTATTCCAAGGAGCACCTAGTGGGTGGTCTCAAACTGCTGATCTTGAGGTTAGCAGCTCAGTGAGTAAACATTACCACCAGGGGCTGCTCCTCCTGGCCCAGGTAACCAAAATAAACTTTGATCTCTGTTTGCCTGTTTTATTTACGGGGAGGTAGTAATAGTATTTGTATTTTAGTCATTGAAATTTCACTTAGCACAATACCTGCAAACTCCACCCATATTGTAGCATGTATCAATATTTCATTTCTCATCCTGATGAAAAGAACTCTGGTAGGCATTGGACTATTGAAATGTAAGGTTGGTGATGCAAAGCCATTTGCTGCTCAATGGGAGAAAGATGAGGCAATCTGCTCACGAGGATTTACAGCCCTGGAAATCCTATATAGGGTCACTTTTTGAGTTGGATTGACTGGATGGCAGTGGGTTACAGGCTTATTAGTATTCCATTTCATACATGTGTACCGCATTTGATGGGCATGTAGGTTGTGTCCCTATTTGGACTATTGTGAATAGTGCTGCAATGAACATTGGTATATATTTTTTACATCTCTTTTCAAGGCTTTTGGGTATATATCTGGAGGGGAATTGCTAGATTGTATGCTATTTTGTTAGGTGGTGGTTTGGGGGGAGATTATTTTCATTATGAATTGGGTGGATGTTTACAGAGCAGATCATCAGTTTTATATTAAAAAATTCTTACATGTTTTGTTTTAACTCATCCATTGAACTTTCAATGTTTCCTGTTTTCATCCCTCTTTTCTGGACTTGGCTGTTGGGTAAATATTGCACTTACTACACTGGGGTTTCTACCAGAGTGGTGAGTTCAGGTTCAGACCTGAAAGGTGACTAAGGACTATAGTTTCAGGAGTCCCACATATTTATCCAACCTGTAAGCCTGATCTCTTACAGTTTTGAATTTTGTTCCATATTTTTCTCCTCTGCCCCGGACCTTCTAATATAATCTTTTCCAGAACAGTTGATCGTGATATCTATTTGTGGCAACTATTTGCTTATTTTTTGTTTGTTTTTAATCATTAAAATTTATGATTTTTAAAAATCATTTTATTGGGGGCTCTTACAGCCCTTACCACAATCCATACATATATCCATTTTGTCAAACATATCTGTACATGTGTTGTCATCATCTTTTTCAAAACATTTTCTTTCTACTTGAGCCCCTGGGACTTTTTTTTTTTAAGAAAACATTAAGTTATATGGGGTAAGGATAAGATAACTACAAAGTCAGATTTAGGTGAGGGAGGCCATAAGCCTGAAGTCAGTGAGGTCCATGGGCTTGCTAAGATAGAGTTTTACAAAAGACATGGAGGTCAAAGAAAAATGCCACAAAAACATGGTTGGCAGCCGATCCGTACATCATAGTTAAGCAAGAATGGAACCGTGATTGGGATACGCGCATTACTTATGACAGAGGAGCTTCCAGTATTGACCCAGGCGTTCCCGTGATGCAGTGAGGGCATGACTTACATCCATGTGCAGCCCCCCTTCAATCATCTCCCATCCAGGGCACATCCAGATAAGTCCCTAGGGAGATTGACCTTCCCTCAGCTAGTCGGGGCTGGAAAGAATCCACTTGCATTGCACTCTGTCTGAACCAAGACTGTTCACATCCCTACTAGTCAATAGAGGGAATTCGATGAAGGCTTAATCCACCTTAGAGATACTGCAAATGGATTTTAGGCTTACACTGTCATTCATAGCCTTCTGCAAACCAGGTGTTCAGAATTTAAGTTCTAATAAAATTCTCTCCTTGGATCATGAATTATTAATATTAACACTGTTTGGATCACACAGGCTGGTGTGCTTCCTATTAGCTGACACCTTACTTACATGGCTGCTTGCTTTAAGGGAAGTTTTTAAAACCCCAGACTGATTTTTTTTTCACACTTTGCTGTACTTTTCCATAATGGCTGTATCAGTGGGGCACTGAACCATCAATGAGTAAATTAAAAAAAAACAAAAAACCTCCAGTCAATTCTGAATCCTAGTAACTCTATAGGACAGGATAGAATTACCCTTAGGGTTTTGTGGGTAAAAGATTGGACTTTCTATCCCCATAAAGAGTTATAGTCTCAGAAACCTACAGGGGCAGTTCTCTCATGCCCTTTAGGGTCACTGTGAGTTGGCATCTACTCCATGACAGTAGTTTGGTTTGGTTCGGAGTTTTGGAGACTAATTATTTTTTTTTTATCATTTTATTGGGGGCTCATACAACGCTCATCACAATCCATACATCCGTCCATTGTGCCAAGCACATTTGTACATTTGTTGCCATCATCATTCTCCAAACATTTTCTTTCTACTTGAGCCCTTGGTGTCAGTTTTTCATTTTTTTTTTTTTTTAGTTAATCAATTTATTGGGGCTCATACAATTCATCACAATACATAGATCAATTGTGTAAAGCACATCTATACATTTGTTGCCCTCATCATTCCCAAAATTCTCTTGCCTCTTGGGTTCCCGGAAAGTTTTTCATTTTTTTAAAATTG